AAGTAACTTTATTTCGGCAAATGTTGAGTTTTGCGACTCATAATATTCGCCCTTGAAAAGAAGCTCAGAGCAAATTTTCTTATGCTTTGCATCCCATGGCATATTTCACGCGCAAGTGTTGTCGGCACCGCGGAAGCACTCCATGTTCACAGATTGAAGCAACCACATTTTTTCAAATGAAGGAACAGTTTCTCTACAAGGATGTATCTTGAAGCAAAAGAGACATTATCTTTGCAAAAACTTTTTCGAGAATCGCATTGAAAGTTGCTATAGAGCGAGTTTCTCATGATGTGCGCTCCATTTCCATTTTTTACGCGTAAGTGTTGTCGACACCGCAAAGGCACCGCAAAACTACTGAACTATGCGATTTCACTAATACCAATTGAAGAAACGAGATTTTTTCAAGTATTGAGATTATAGCTTGTGCCAATAACGGGCTCTCCTTTTCGCAAGCACAATCGCCACGCAAGAGCTCCGCGTCACATTCACGCGCATCATGCAGAACGGCGTCGATCAGAGGTCCGCACGCAAGGCTCTGCGTTGTGCATGCGTAGTTCTCACGCGGAAGGGAAAACAGTAGTAGAAGTAGTTGACACAGACTATAAGACTTACGTTCCAAGGCCTTTCAGCTGGTGGAACTGCAAGACGCTTTATCTCTGTGTCGGCGTATTGTACGAGATGGACCTAAATAATTTATATTTTACCAAAGTTTCTAGCCAATAAAAATTTATGGCTTTACCTCATATTTGCTTCTATGCTCGCTTGCAGCATAAGAATTATTCAATGCAAGCATTCGCAATTGTTTTTGCACAGTCTTCACCTCCGCATTTTCGTAAATATTCTGCTGCTTCGGACGAGTCTCCTCCTTCCAACGTTCAATCATCAACTGTCGCCAAAATGAGTTTACAAACTCATTTTTCTTCGCTGGCACCGAAGGATTACGGTAGACCGAACCGAATCTTACTGTAGATCGACCTCTAGAACTAAGCACTTGACGATTTCTATAAAAGGAAATTCATGCGTGTGATGACTGCGCAGAAGAACCTACCGATCTTTGTGATCTACATCTGGGTGATCCGGTAAACTTGACATCATTCCGCCAAGTTGACCTCCAGCACGACAACAGGCCATACAGAAGAAGAATAGGGGAGTAAGTGGCGGTGGTAGCGGGGGTCGGAGACTAAAAATTAATTTTGTAAAATGATTGAGGTGTGAATGAAAAAAATGGGGTTGAAGGGACCTAAATTCCGTGACAAGTGAGTACATCTGGAACTTCCAAATTTTGTCGGCTTCATCGTCGACAGATTTGGCCGTTTTGGCAAAAAATGCGAATAGCACTGGCCAGAGGATCAACTAAAAATATCATCAAAAAGAAATTTTGAGTTATATGGCTGTCTCTGCACTAATAATAAGATATTAAATACAATGCAAACAAGTACGCGCCGCACGGAGACCCGCGCGGCTTGACGCAGGACAAACGCTGCGCTGTGATTAATCAATAATCTTGCGTTTTCGTGGGTCCCGTGCCGAAATCTAATGACTCAGTATCTATCGATTTCATTTCGTCAAAAAATTGTGTGTGCAGTCACAGACAACACATGGACAGAAGTGATTCAAGCGAAAATCACGTACCCATCTATACTTTGATTCAAACAGCTTGTCGGCTGAGAGGCGGGGTTTGACCTAGTTAAGGCTAGGGAGTGATCAGAGAGCATGCG